AAACTCTATAGCCAAAAAGATAAAAACTTAATCTTATTCACCTTTTTTTTTTTTTTTGCTATCATTACATTATACTCTAACTATTAGAGGACTGAGTACTTTAGGAGTTAGAAATATTTCAAATCCCAAATTTGTCACTTTCTAGATGAATGACTTAGGAAGAAAAAGGTGACCTTCTGAACTTCGGTTTCTTTATCTGTGAAATGAGAATAGTAACATCTGCCTCAGAGTTGCTACAGGTTAAAGTGAGATAATGAACATGAAATGCTTGGCACAGTGCCCATCCCAGGATCGCAGGATTAGGGTGATGCTTGCTGTTCACACTGTTCCTATGAAAAGTTAAGAGACATTATTTGTGTAACAATTATTGAATTACATTCCCAAAGATATAAAAATGGAAAAGCATGATTTGGGATGTGGCTGTCCTCAGCCTCCGTGGACAGACCAGTCTGTGATAGATGAAGCAGTCGACTGGCTGTGAGAAGATGCTAGGGTCCGAGAGGGCCCCGTCTGCGGGCTGGCTCTGTCTCTGGGTGTCTTGTGAACTTAAAAAATTACTGACACTCTCTGTGCCGTTGTCCTTATTGGTAAACTGGAAATAATATTATATACCTCAGTGGATTGATATGAGCAATAAATGAAATAATTAATATAAAGCACAGTGTCTGGCCCAAGGCAATCACTCAATAAACTAAGTTAGCTTTATTATTATGATTCTCACGTTATTTGTTATTGTTGTTATTAGAAAGGCGACAGAATTATAGTAGTAGGCCTGCCTTCAAGTTCCATACTGCTGCTACCTTCCAACTAGGTTGCACTCTTATCTCTGGTTTCATATTTACTTGTGTGTGTTGAGGGAAGGAAAGGTAGGACCTAAACGAGAAAATGAGCAAAAGTGATTTGATAATTGAAGTGCTGTTCACACAGTTATCTGAAATTGCACGACTTTTTACAATCCTGAAAGAAAAGAGATTCTGAAACGTTTCCTTTTTACCAAGCATGACCTACTGACTATTTTTTAAGAGGTGCAATTAAGAGCTCTGTGCTCTGAGGCAGCTAGGGCGGGATTCACTGACCTTCTTCCACGGGTTTGGTTTGGCTTTCGGCCACAGGCGTGCTCTCAGCATCGCTTGGTTTCTGAATGAACCGGCGGAGGTAATGCAAACGAGCCTGCGCAGCCTGAAGAACGAACACGAACAGCCTTTTAAGCTCTTGAAAATCAGCAGCCAGTACAGGCGGCGACATATTAACGATACGCAATCTCGAACCAGGGACATGTGAATTGAGTAGGGCAGTTTGAATACCAACCAGGCCAGCTCTTCTTCATTATCAAATAAACTCAAATTCTGAACCATCCATAATTTTGTCACAGTTGTATTTGAGAATGAATGAAGAAGCAGTCCTAAAACTAACAAACTGGGCATGCTGTCTTAGATTTAGTTGCTCCTGAATCTTTCCATCTGCTCCAGTGCTGCTGAGTTGAAACATGAAGCACTTACATAAGTAACAGTGTTTCACCACAGCGAGGACTCTATCAAACACAGGGGCGAGAGGAGGTATGCATGTTCCACACGGGGGCAGCGTGCTTTTTATCTATCTAAGGCTGTTCAAAGCATAGGGAAGCAAATGGGAAACATTTTTATGTTTTCTTACTTGGGGGTGTTCAGGGCAGACGTGCATACAGCCAGGGTTGTGTAAACGAATGAGGTAACTCGTAGTTTGGGTCTGTAAGTGGCACCATCGTGTACTTTGCTTTGATTATCAAGAGGGTCACATTTCACAATGGGTCCAAATGTGATCTTAATACCTGGTTAATCAATGTTTGATAAAATTCCAGATACCATTTCTAAAGGAAAGACTGCGGTTTGACCAGCATGACTCTTTTTTTCAGACCTGGCCTAAGGATAAAAAGTAAAAAAAAAAAATGACAGCTTTTCAAAGCCGGGTGACCTTGATTGCTCTTCCTGGCTCTGTTGTCTCCCAGGCTTGCTTCATGGCTCGGATTTCATCTGCTCGTTCCGTATCTTTTCTCACTTCAAATAATTCCGATTCACTGTGTTCAGTGACCAACCTCAAAATCCAGTAGGGTTTATTTGGATCTTCTTGCTGAGAGTGTAGAGTGGATGTCTGATA